GCCAACCAGGCTTCCTGACTGCCTGCTGTCTTCTTGGTAAGCCTCATAATCCCTCTGCATCTCAGTTTCTTCATCTGTCAAATGGGGTGGGGTGGAGTCTTTCCATGCCAGGGCCACTATGAGGATGGGGGCAGCAGGCTCCTCAGTGTAAGCTGCTGGTGTTCAGGAGAGACTCAGGCACAGCCCCTAGCAGCTCTGAGAGCCCAGACTCTGATACTTACCATCTGCGTTGCCCTAGGCAAGTGACTCCGCTTTCCTGAGCCTCAGTTTACCCTTCTGTGAAACAGGGCCAGTTAGTTAACAGTGCCAGCTCGTGGAGTACTTACCATGGAAGAGCATCTAGAAGGACAAGCTGACCTGTTCCTCCCCTCCCCTCCCCTACAGGGTCTCCTCTGGGGTCTACGAGCCTGTCGTAATTGAAAGCCATTGAGGAGCGGGTGTCCAACCTGGAGAAGGGCCCTGCCTTCGCGGGCATCCAGGCCCGCATCATTCCACGAGGGACCTTCCGCTTCGGATCACCTTCCGCGCCACATCTCATCTGTGCCTCCTCCGTGCACTCCAGCCCCACTCCTGCCCCCAAAGCATCATTCCACTGTCCCCCCATCCATGCCGGGACCTTCCTGGCCTGCCAGGCCCCGGGCACCACTGTGAATATTCTCCTCTGAACCACTAGGGGGCAGGCCACGCAGGCCCACGAAGCAGGTGGACAAGACCAAGCTGGCCAGGACTGCCCCGCTGGAGACCAGTTGGGCCCCTCAGTGAGGACACGCAGCGGCACCTCCGTGCGGCGATGCCTGTGGCCGAGGGGCCTCTTGCCCTGTGTCCCTGCTCGCCCCAGGAGCATTGGCTCACCGTGCCCTGGCAGGGCCTTGCTCTACCGCCCCCCTTGCCCTTGGGCAGGCCAGTCCTCCCCCAGAATCCTGCCACCGCGGCCCCCTGACTGCTTAGTGCTTCAGCCGTCCCTTCCCTGGGTCCTAGGGGACCTGCTGGCGGCCTGCTCCTGGGAACCGAGACCTCAGACCCACACTCCACATTGAGACCCCCCTCCCCCAACGAATGTTCTCCTGCTGCCCCGGCAGCCTGCACTTTGCACATGCTTGTCTCCAGCACAGCCCGCCTGGCCCTAGCCTGCCTTTCCCCCGAGCCCTTCGCAAGGATTCCTGGGCACTGCCTGCTGTGCAGTCAGCGCCTGTGTCTAGTGGCCCGGCTGGAACGTGGCACTGCCCCCCCCCCCCAACCAGTGTAGCTCCAGCTCAGGCCTGACACCCACGTCGAGAAAGGTCTGAGCGTCGATAGTGGCTCACCTCTGCTCGGGGCTGGATCCCGAGCAGCTGGTTTCCTGTAGGAAGCCAGGGAAGGTGTCTCCCAAACCCTTGCAGGTTGAGAGTCGGGCTGAGCTGGGCTGGGCTTGGCAAGCAGAGCCCCCTCTCCGTCCCTGCAGGGTCAGCTGGCCCAGGCTGGGGCCGATGCTGAGAGGCAGGTGGGCTGGGACTGGAGTGGCCTGGAGCTGGCTCCCTGGCCAGAAAAGCCTCAGCCCTCCTCTGGAAGCATCCCCCTCTCTGGGCGAAGGAGAGGTGGGGAGCAGTCTGGCCCTGCCCCTGCCCCTCGCTAAAACCTCTGCTGTCTGCACCCCACCCCTCCCCAGTCTTCCTTACTTGCTTGAAAATTGGGGGTTCTGGCTTCCAGCCAGTCCCTGGACAGACTTTCCCACCACTCTGAAATTTCACTTATTTTGTGTGAACCCAGCAGGCTGGTGTTGACTTAATCCTATATCTTTTTTCTTTTAACATTTCCTCTTTTCCTTTCTTTTTTGTTTTTGTTTTTTTGTTTTTGTTTTTGTTTTTTTTGTTTTTGAGTTCACAGTTTGGTATTTTCTCCTCCCCCAGGTGAGGGGAGGTGGTTCTGTTTTCTGCCCTCCCTGCTGGCTGGGTCCCAGCAGGGCTCAGGATCTAGATGGGGCAGAGGGGGGTCACGGGGGGGCAGGATACTGGTTCTCTCCCTGGTGGGGTGCAGGTGCCGGTGGGGGTCCTCCCCAGGCTGGGAGGGCTCCTGGCAAGAGTTGGAACCTCCCAGCCTTGGGAGGAGAACATTTCTAGGATTTGTTGTCCTTGTTTGTAATCCCCTAACTCTGAGAAGCTGAATGTGAGGCGGCTCTTGCCGAGACCCGGCAGAGTACTTACTTTGGCCGGAGAGGGCTCCGGGTAGCCCTGCGGGTCCCTTCCTGCCCCACCGGCAGCTGGCACTTTAAAAGGGAGCTGGCTCTGTGCAGTCTCCAGATGAAGTGACCCCCCAGGAGATGAGAGAGCCCTCTCCGCCCCTTCTGTGCCTGCACCACCTCCGCCCAGTGGGGCAGCGCAGTCCGAGTGTATTTGGGCTCTGGCTCAAAGTTCTGGGCTTCAAGCATAAAAGAGCCAGCTCTGGTGCTGTTGGGACCTCCCCCCCTAAACCAGGAAGCCCAGCACCACTCAAGGCGAGGTCTGGGCTTGACAGTCACCCCAGAGGTAGACAGAGCCTGCCACATCCTCCCATGCCAGGCCTGGGCCAGGGTAATCGGACTGAGAATTCGGCCACATCCAAATTAGCACTAGCCGGAGCCCGAGGCCTGGAGCCCTTTCTCCAGTCTGGTCCTGTGAAGCTCAGCGAATTCCCGCCAGGCACCCACAGGTCCTGGACTGCAAATGCTATAGAGAGAGAAAGACTATATTAGAGATATTTTTGGAAAGGAATCAGTCTATGCAATGCCAGTTTGGAATCTTCTTGAAAGACAGTTTAACGTTTTTACTAGGAGATTTAAAGAAAATAAAAGTCTGCCATATTTTTAGGTTACTTTTTTTTTCTGGTCACCCCACACTGACCACATGGTGTTCTCTGCGGGGATGGAGATCTGCCGTGTTCTCCTCTCTCTTAGAGGGTTGAGCTGGGAAATGGGGGGTGGGGTGGGGAGGGGTATCTTTTTTTTTTTTTTAAATTCCCCTCCTTTCTAACAGAATGTTGCCGCCACCACCACCCCTTATTCAGAAGGCTGTGTTTGTATCTCTGTCTCCCGGCTTCTGTTATAGAAAATCACATCGTGATGGGAAATCAACCTAGTGTCCGTGTATTGGTTGGGGGAAAAAATTAAATGTCGCAATTTTTGTTTGTTATGGCACGTTGGGTTTTGTTTGTTTCACTGCGTGGTCAGCATCAGAAGAAAGCCAGCTGTGGGTTGACATCTGGGAATGGGGGAATGATGTAGGTGGCCTGGGTCCCCCCGTCCTGGTTGTCGTCACAATTAGCACCTTTACTACTCCGGATTCCCGGGGAGGAAACTGAGGCCCAGGAGGGCAATTTCTTGCCAGTCTCACACCTACTAAGTGGCAACTTTGATCTCAGGGCACAAGTTCTAACCACTGGACTTCCCCAGCAGTCAGCCTGAGGACAAATAACGGTCTGTGCCTCAGTTTCCTCAGCTGTAAATGGGCTGGTGGATGAAAGAAGAAAGTGGGTGTGCAGCCTGACATGGGGAGGTACTGAGTTTGTTCCCAACTCCTCTCAAGCCCCAGGCCACTACTGTCTCCAGGCCCAGGTCCCTCACTTCCTGCCCCCCACACTCAAGGTACACAGGAGCCAGCTCACTTCCTGCCCCCCACACTCAAGGTACACAGGAGCCAGCAGCTTGGTCAGGCTCTGAGAAAGGCAAGTCACCCTGGCCTTGAATTAGCTCAGAAGTGGCAGGAAGCCTCTGTGGCTGTGGACACGCCAGAAGGGACCAGACCAGACCGTCGGGCCTCCTCCCTGCTGCACATTACCTCTTCTGTACCACTTCTGGGGCTGACACCCACTCATGGGCCCTTTAAACCCTGGAGGCTGATTTTGAGTCTCCTCCTCTTCTGCACAGCACACCCTGGGAGGGAAAAGTTGGCCCTTGGCTGAGCCCAGAGTCTGTCTGAGATGGAGAAGGAAGTCCCTGGGCTGTAGGCCAGAGGAGTGCTTCCTATCTATGGTCTCTGAAGAGTGCAGTCCCCATAGGGGCAGGCTCAGGTGACCCAAGGAGACGTGCTGCCAGCAGGAGCAAACCATGCCAGCTTCAGGCACATCTCTTCAAGTCTGCCCATCCTCCCACTCCTCATTCGGGGCACCAGGGACACAGCAGTGACCACAGACTCCATCCCCGGGAACCCACAGGCCAGATCAACAAGTAAATGAGCTAACTAAAACTCAATGACAAGTGTCACCACGGAGACACACCTGGGGCTGTGGAGCACAGGCGAGGGAATCCCTGCCCAGCTGTGAAGGGGCCTCCCTAGGACGCGGGGCATCCCACTGAGGCCCGGTGGGTGAGCAGCAGCCAGCCCCTACCGCTGTGGGAAATCAGTGCTCCAGACTGCGGAAGGACCTGCATGTGGGGCCAGTCCAAGACCCGTCTGTGCCGCTGCCTGGGCCGCAGGGACACGCGGAGACCAACAGGCAAATGGTGAGGAAACGGAGGATCGCCCTGACCTCACCCCTGCAGTGATGAGAGGACCGACACCTGAAAGGGTCTCCTGGGAAGCCAGGCGGCCGTAAGGGGGCGCTCCCCTCACAGCCAATGAGAATCCTCCCCATCCCTGGGGACGCGGGCGTACCGCCGCCCCCCCGCCCCCTCCCCGCTCCTCCCACCTCAGGTGGGGCAATGAACGCTCTCTCTGCACCGCTGTCGACAATTAGGGCCTCGGGACTAGGAAATAGGGCCCCTGGGTGCCGGTCTCGGCTATACCACGGATTCCAGTTGTGATCTGCAAGTTTTGCCTTCTCTGAGCCGCATTTCCCCCATCCGCAAAATGGGACGTCTGACCTCCCACGTCATCCCCGCTCTGGGTTTGGGATCCTGGGATATTTAGAGATAGCTTTTTTTTTCTGGGGCGTTTTCGACAGGACTGACGGCATGAGTGCCAGCCAGTGTGGATCCCGACCGCTCGATTCTATTCACTAGAGAGAGTCTGGGAACAGCGTGTCCCACAATGCCCTTGGAAACTACATTTCCCGACATGCAAGGGGAAGGCGGCACCCTCCTGTCTTGGGACACGTATCCCGGGCCCGCTTTTTAAAGACTACGACTCCCGGCGTGCCCCGCGGCTCAAAGCCAGAAGGGCCCGGATCCGGAGCTAGCTGGGGCTTGTGGCTACGGCGTGGGATTGCCTGGGAGATGGTGAGTTCCGACCCGAGGGCAGGGGGCAGGAGGCAGGAGGCGGCTGCGGGGAGGGGAGGTCGGCCGCGGAGCGGAGGGCTTGGGCGCTCGAAGCCGGGATTGCTCGCTCTCCCGCCGGCCCGTGGTAGAAATGAAAACCCCGCGGCCCGGCCCTCTCCCAGCCTGGAAAGCGATACTCATCAGGCCTGTCTACGTCTGTTGAGTGAACGGGAAACTCAGAGAGCGTGATCGTGACGCCACCCCGCCAGTAGTGCACCTAAAGGGGGAGTGACTTCGTCAGTTGAGCCCTCCTTTTCTCCAGGCCACGGGGACAGACCAGGTGGTGGGACTCGGCCTCGTCGCCGTTAGCCTGATCATCTTCACCTACTACACCGTCTGGGTGATCCTCTTGGTATGTGTGCTGCCCCCGCCCTTCGTCTTACCTTCCACTCCCTGGATCTCGAAGCTGACCCCTGGAATCCTTTACGCTGCTGTGTGCCAGGCACTGTGCTAGGCGCTTTACCTCCTTCCTCTCATGAAACCCCCAGAACAGCGCTATCAGGACCGATGCTAGAGGTTGCTGCAGTTTATAGATGAGGAAGCCGAGGCTCAGCGAGAACCGCTACCCTTAAGGCCCTTGACCACTACACCGTTCGCCCCTATTACTGATTTGCTTTTCCCTTAGATTGGCTTTCTAGTCTTTCCGGTTATCTTGCTCGCTCCTGGGCATGATGACTGCCAGCGGCTTTTGTGAGCGCCTTTAGGATTTTTTTTTTTTCTCTTGTTGGAAAATGTGTTGGTTACTGCTTAAGAAGTGCAGTGTGTCCGGAAGGCAGAACCCTGCAGAACTTTGGAGGGAGATGTGCATAAAGGCGTCCCTGGAGCCTACGTGAGAACCCCTCACGTGCCTTTGTCCGTGTTGGGCTGTGAGTGGCTTAAGGCAAGTCCCTCGTCTTCCGTTCATTGCCAGGTCCCCAGCACCAACTTAGGGCAGGCGCCAGGCAGGTGCCCACTGAACAGCTATTCAATAAATAAATGAAGGAGACAAACCAAAACACCCCCAACACCGTCATCTGAAAGCAAAGCAGGTGCTATCCCAGTGCATTGACTGGGGTCAGCCCAGGAGATGGGGAGGCGGTGAGGGGGGAGAGGCGAGGGGGCTTGAAGGGTTGGGCAAGGCGAGGAGTGCTCATCAGAGCTCTGCCCTCGGTACCAGCCGTTCATCGACAGCCAGCATGTCATCCACAAGTACTTCCTGCCCCGAGCCTATGCTGTCGCCATCCCGCTGGCCGCTGGCCTCCTGCTGCTCCTGTTTGTGGGTAAGTCATCACTCCCTCCACCCTGAGCAGGGTGTCTGGGAGTTCCCACAGCCCCCTCCCATCGCTAAACATGCTTCCTGACTTTGCCACTCGCTGTACACCTGCTTGAGGCTCCTTGCTGCATGCCACCCCCCCCCCCCCCCCCCCCCCCCCCCCCCCCCCCCCCCGCCCAGCCAAAATTACCCCCTGGGATTTTCCTGTTCATCTTTCAGGGCTGTCAGTCATAGCCCCTCTGGCCTTCCCTGTGCCTCAGGTGCATTGATCCCAAATGGGATGGCCCCAGTGGGGTGTGTCCCTTTTTCCTGCCCCCTCCACCGCCACCGTCATCTCTCTGCTCACACCTCGTCAGCCCTCACCCTTTGTCACCCACTGGCCCGTGATATTCCTACCCCTCTCTATCTCCCCCTGAGGTTTAGTGTGGGGGCTTCCTTGGGGCGGGAACTGTGTCTTCATCATTATTATTATGTCCTCAGCCCCCGGCACAGACTGTGGCTCTGAGTTGGTGCTCAAGAGAGCAGTTTGCATGAGTCACCTGGGTGACTGGATGGTGGCGTGGGTGGGGGATGTGGATTAGGCGGGTGGGTGGGTGGACAGGTGGCTGACTGGGTGAGCGGATGCATATTTGAGTGGGTCTTGTTCCCTGCGGAACCTAAAACCCTAAACGTGGCAAATTGCCCCCGCTGGGCACTCTGCTGGTGTTTGTCGAACACGTGGGTAGACGTGTGGCTTGCCGAGTGACCAGGGAGGTGATCCTGGCCCGGAGGGTGGTTGGGCAGGTACCTGGCCCCGCATGCGGGCCGCTCCGCCATGCTGCGCCCTGCCCTGGCCTCCCAGCAGCCCCGAGCCCAGACCTCACCTGGCCTTTCTGGTCTGTGTGTTCCAGGAGTGTTCATCACCTACGTGATGCTGAAGAACCAGAAAGCGGCCAAGAAGGCTCAGTGAAGGCCCAGTGGGGCTCAGGCTCCCAGCCCTTCCTCTGCCTCCCCTCCAAAGGTGGGCACACACGGGACCCATCCAGGCGCCGTGGGCCCCCTCAGGCCTGGCCGCCCTGCAGACTTCCCTGTGGGATGGAGCTGCTCAGGACTGACCACACAGGCCTGCTACTCCCCTGCTCAGCCTTCCAGAAGCCACGAGAGAAGCCTGGAAGGCTCCCTCAGGGCCTGAAAGATGCTGGTTGGGCCCACCTCACTGTCAGGCTTCCTGTCTCCTTTTCCTCAGGGTTCCACTCTCGTTTCACTTTCCCTCTTGTCACCTGCTGCTGTTGGACTTGGCAGGTTCTGAGGCATCACGTGACCTTTGCCCACACGTTCTCCTCCTCATCGGAGCGGCTTTCCCAGGTCTGACACAGCCCCAGGCCCCACAAGGACTTCGGGACCTGGAAAGCCTAAGGGGGGACTAACAGGCCCGAGGGTTACCACCACGCCTCAGGGCACATTAGGGTGGCCACAGTGGGCCCCCAGGCCAACTGCTCCTCATAGAGGCCCAGTCCCCCAGCCCTAGCACTGGCCTACCTGGGAGAGCTGAACAATAAATGGTGACGATGTGTCTGTCTCTGTGGCATCGATGACGAGGGAAGCCGGGCTGCTTGGGGGCTGGAGAGGGGCTGGTCTCAGGTCAGGAGACCCCAGTTTGTTCAATGAGGGTGTCTTGGGCACCTCCCAGACTGTCCCTGTGCTGGACACAGGGTAAAGCAGGGACTGAAAGAGATATGGCCCCGGGCCTGGTGCAGCCCATGGATGGGGACTCGCTGGAGGCACAGCAGTGTGCCAGATGCCAACCACATCAGCCTCTACTACGCCTCCCCTGTGGCAGCCCAGCTGGCATGCACTAGCATTTTAGGGGCCCTCAGGCCAGTCCCCTAAAAGGTCGAGTCCCATCAGACGATGGGTATCTCTGATACCCCAGCAACCCAACCTCGCACGGCTCCGAGCAGTGAGACTGGGAGGACCTGGAGCAGGGCTGGCTGTGGTCAGGTTGGCAGATCTGCACTGGCCCAGCCTTGTCCCTGGTAATCACGCCACACCCCCCGCGCAGCCGGGACTCCGTCCACAGGGCCTAGTTTAAGACTCTGCCTCACCTTGGGTGTTCACTCTACCTAGAGGCGGCTCCATCACCTGAGAACCAAGGCCGACTGTAGACACATCTCCCCTTCCCTCACCTGTCCCCTCCGCCCCCCGTCCTCCGGTCCAGGCAGAGCTAGCACCTGGGCTTTGGGTTCTGTCCTCTCCCCATGCCGTAACAGAAGTATCGTGTCTCTGATGGTCCCCCTCTCATTGCAGAACAGCCTCTGCCTCTTACTGGGATCCTCCCTGTGTTTCATGAGCAATCCAAGGCCCCCATATAAAAGACTGACCATCACCAATTAATTTCCTCTAGGTCTCTCCCCTTCTCCCCTTTGTAGCCAGATTCCCAAAAGGGTGTCCACACCTGCTACCCGGATTTCCTCACCATCACTGTGCTTGGCATCCCTCCTGGAGGGCGGCACCCACTCAGACCACCAGTGACCCCATGTCAGTCTGTGACATCCCCCCAGATGCACCCTCAGATGCTCTCGGACGATCCATCCTCACACTTTATGTCTCTCCTGCTTCATTTCTGCCATGAGACGGTGGGCTCCTTGGGACTTGGTCACAAGCCTTCTCTCCCCACACATCCTGGGTGGCCCTGTCCTTATCTGGGCTCACCTCTCGAGCCCCAGTGGATTGCACACACACCAGCTAACTGCCATTGGATGTCGTAGTGGCACCTCAAATGGAACCTGTCCTGATCCGAGTCCTCAGACTCCCCCTCCACAATCTGGATCTCCCCTCATGCCTTGCCCCCTTCCATGACTGGCATCATCCTGTGGCCCTAACCCCAGACAGAAGCCTGGCAGACATCACTGCAAGCCTCCATCCACATGACCCCAAATCTTGTCACTCCCCTTTTCTCCCTCCCCCCACCCCAGTCACCTTCCTGATGCATCCTCTACCCTAAGTCACCAAAATATTCCTCGCCCCCCTCCCCGCCCACTCTGGCTCCCTCCAATGTGACTATGTGTGACAACCATGGCCTTTCAAGAACAACTGAGCATCTTTCTCCTACACATTTATAATGCTTGTCTGGGTTCCCCACCCCCCTCCCTAAGATGGCCTAAGAGAGACTGCATGGTTGCTCGCTTGTTCGTTCCTCCTCATTCCAGCTACCCTGGTCTTTCATTTCCTGGACTCATTGAGGCCCTTTGCACATCCTACTCACATGGTTCAACATATACTTGTGAAACACTGGTTTGTGCCAGGCACCAAGCCAAGAAATGGACCCAGTACGGTTCCTGCCCTCTGGGTGGTCCCATTCCAGGAGGGCAGATACAGGAAATAAATGGGCAAGACAATTTCTGACAGTGTTAAGTGTGATGAAGAAAATAAAACAAGGTGATGTGATCAAGCATGAGCCGTGGGGACACTTAGAGTCAGGCAAGGTCACAAGAACGAATAGGGCAAATGAGAGTCTAGGGGAAAGGATTACAAGCTTTTTTGCAGGGAACAGCACCCGCAAAAGCCCCAGGTGTGAAAGAATTTTATTCCCGAGGATCAGCGGGGAGCCCCGTGTGGCTGTGCGGTGGGTGTAGGGAGAGTGGTTTGAGATGGACCTGGGGCCGGGGCCATGGCGAGGGGTATGGATTTTGTTCCAGTGCAAAGGGAAGCCACTGGAGGTTTTAAGCATGCGAGTGACATCATCTGATTTATGCTTTTAAAAGATCACGCTGGCAGCTGTGTTCCTGCCTCTCGCTCACCACTGAATCCCCAGGGCCTAGCACTAGTCCTGGCTCAAAGTGAGTGTGTTCAAAATATGCCTTAAATGAATGCATGCCCCGGACTTCCTGTGTGACCTGGAGGTACTCACTTCTCTCTCTGGACCTTAGTTTTCTCACCCAGGAGGCAGTCGGTGGAAATTTCAAGCCAGAGTGGGTGGGTCGGACTGGATTTAGGTTTCCCGCCTCACCAAGCGTCCCCGAGACCCGAATCCCCCACTTTAGGAGACGAACTGGGGGGGTTCGGGTGGCGGGGTCTTCCCTCCTGGCGACCTGAAGCACCGCGCGGCGGCCCCGCCCCGGCCTGGACCGCGCTCCAAAGGATGCTGCAGCCCCGGGGGCGGGACCCGCAGGCGATCGCGGGTGCCTCCTGTGCGGATTGGGTGCAGCCGTGGCCGGCGCCGCGCTATTGGTCGGTCCAGAAGCGGGGGCGGGGCCCCGCTCCTGCAGCGCGGCGGCGGGGACACGGCCGGAGCCCAGGGAGCTGCTGCGGGGCGATGGCCGCGCCGAGCCCGGGGCCCCGCGAGGTAGGTGCGGACCCAAAAGAGGACAGGAGAGGAAAGGGTCGGGGGGCTGGGCCCGGGCCTCCCCTCCCAGCGCAGCGCGGACACACCCCCATCAAGGCCCCTGGGGGTCCTGAACTGGGCGGGGACCAGGACACGCCCCACAGGGGGCCGCAGGTATGCAGGGGAAGTCCGGCGGTTTTCCCCAGAGAACTTCCTCAGTTTTCTCATCGCGAAAATGGAGGTGATAATAAAAGCGCCTCCTTCATAGGGCCGTTAGGAAGTCAAGCTCTCAGCCAGTGCCGGGCACATGGTGGGTGCCAACTGCTAGTGGGTCAGGGGCCGCGAGCTCAGCTTCATGCTGACCCTCCCCTCGGCCTGAAGGATCTCCGTATAAGCGAGTCGAATAGATGCCCGAGTCCCTGGCGTCACAGCTCCTACTATCAAGGGTTCCCGGGCATAGAGCTCAAACTGCCACCGAGGAGTTATTATAGTTCTTTTACAGAGGAGAAAACGAGATGCAGAAAGGTTAGGTGACTTACCTAAGATCACACAGCTGGTGAGAGACAGGCTGCAGAAAGCATTCTTTACCCGCCATTCTATGCTGGGTGCTGACTGCATGCCAGGCCCTGTGTGGCCCGTCACAGCACCCAGTGAGGCGGGTACCAGCGTTATCCCTATTTTACAGTTGAGGAAACGGAGGCAGAGAGCGGTAACAGGAGGGTTCACAAATACCAGAGGTGGGACTCAAATCCAGGTCTTTCCCCGCTGGAATGCTTTCATGTGCTCACTGCATCTTGTGTCTCCTGCCACCAGGTCCTGGCCCCCTCCCCAGAGGCTGGATGCAGAGCAGCCCCCTTGACCTCTGGCCGCCGTGGCCTCCTCTGGCGTCTACGAGACAAGCAGGCTCGCCTTGGCCTGTTTGAGATCGGCCCGGGCCATGAGCTGCACCAGCTGACATGTATGATGCAGGCAGGGCTGTGGGCTGCCACTCAGGCCTCCATGGACCACCCACCCACAGTGAGTGGCTGATCCGTGCCCTTCACCTCAACAGTACCAAGGGCAAGACTGCGCTGATGCCCTGTGTTGCTGATACCGCAGGACTGGGGATGAGAGGAGGAAATCAAGGGCTGTGTGCGGGGAGGGAGGGACAGGCAGGGTGGGGGCTGAGGCCAGGGAGCCAGAAAGCCCAGTGTGTGTTGGGGATGTGAAGAACCCCTTGACCTGGGTGGTCCTTGCGTGACTCTAGTTGGGCCTCTTCCTCTTTGGGCCTCAGCGTCCCCATCTGTATAATGGGTAGGGGGGATTGTATTCTTTGGTCTCTGAGGCCCTCCTCGCTCTGCTAGGGTGTATGGCTGAGAAAGGACCCCACCCCCACCCCGCCAGCCTGGCCCATCCTCCCCGGAGCTCAGGCTGGGGACAGGCTGGCTCAGCAGAAAGGGTCGCCCAACTGCAAACTCAGCAGCTGGACCAGCCCGCGCAAGCATGTGTGTTGTTTGTGTGTGTGCACACATGTGCACAGTGTGACCACATCCCATAGGTCAAGTCCTGGCACAGGGACCTAGAGGTCCAGGAAGGGCACAGGAGCCCAACAGGGGGTCCTCTAAATCTCATCACCTGCTGACAATCTAATGTGACTCCCCAGGACTCAGCGTGGTCTCAGGATCCTGCTGGCTCAAGTCCAATTGCCAGCTGTCCAGCTGCATTCATACTCCGTCCCTCCTTTACTTCATGCAACCACGTGAGCCCTCTTGCTCTTCCTGGAGGCCACCAATGCTGTTCCCCCTGCATGAACACCATGCTCCTCCTCTCTACCACCTTTCGGATTTCAGCTTAGAGGTCACCTCCCCCAAGAAGACTTCTCTGATCCTGCCCCTTTCACACTGAGTCAGGCAGGTCCCTTGGCTTTAAGGCCATCCCCTGTCACTGGGCCAACATGTGCGTCTGGGTGACTGGACCAGGCTCTGAGTTCCGGTCCCTGTTTGCTGGAGCAATCAGACTGTGGAAAGGGGGTGAGGCTCTTGGAGAGCCTGGGGCTGGCAGCGTGGAGTTGAGACTTGCCCTGAGCCCCTCCACCCCTCCCTTTAGGGACCACCCACCGAGGAGGATTTCTCTGAGGTCCTGACCCAGGTTCACGAGGTAGGAAGCCCAAGACTGCTGCATGGGAGTGGCGTGTGCTGCTGTTCTTTCTCTGTCCTCAGTCTCCCCATCTGTGTAGTGGGAGTGCTGGCTTGCCTCGGGGCCTTGTGGGAAGGGTGTGATTACCCAGCTGCATACACCTGGCCCCCCAGGGACACTCTTGGGGCTGCTTTTCCTCCCCTGCAGGGCTTCGAGCTGGGCACCCTGGCTGGCCCGGCCTTCGCCTGGCTACGCAGCTCCCTAGGCCTGGCTGAGGAAGACTATCAAGCGGCATTAGGCCCAGGTGGCCCCTACCTGCAGTTCCTCAGCACCTCCAAGAGCAAGGCCAGCTTCTTCCTGTCGTGAGCTGGCAGCGGGGGTGGGGAAGGGGTGGGAGCGTTGTTCCTGGGTGAAGGGGGGCGGTTGAGGAGAGAAACAGAATGGCAAGGTCGGGGAGGGCCAGGGCCAGGTAGAGATCAGATGGAGGAGGAGAGTGAGGACGGGAAGTGACAAGGGCGGAAGTGGGGAGACCCCCAGCCTGGACCTGGGGAGACAGACCCGCACTCGGGCAGGAGGCCTGATGGGGGCCGCTCCAGCCCCGCCTGACCAGTGACCTCTCCCTCCACCCCCTAGACACGACCAACGCTTCTTCCTGAAGACCCAGCGCCGCCGGGAGGTGCGGGCACTGCTCGCCCACCTGCCCCGCTACGTGGAGCACCTGCAGCGGCACCCGCACTCGCTGCTTGCGCGATTGCTGGGTACGACCGGCCAAGGGGCCGGGACGGCGGGTCTGGGGGAAGGGAGAGCGATCAGGGGAGGTGCGTAGGGGGTGGGGCGGTTCCCAGATTGGGGAGACGTAGGGGATCCGAGCCCGAGCCGGCTGGAGGGAACCCATCCGCAGGCTGCGGCCAGTTCCGTGGGGGGCGTGCCCTAGAGGTCCTTGTTAGGGGAAAGGTGGGTGGTGGGCGGGGCCCAAATGGGCGGAGTCTATTGGACAAACCCTTGTGGGGAGGGGGATTGGGGCGGGGTCACGCCTGAGGACCGCCCATCTCTGGGGCTGCCTAGAGGCGGGTCCAGTCCGGACCTCCACCCAAGCTGAGGAAGAGGTCTGGGGGCGTGGCCTGGAGGGGCGGGGCGGGAGGCGGTGGACCTCGAGAAGGAGGCGTGGCCTGGCGCTGGGCCTAGGGCGGGATGGACCCGGGGTGGTCGAGTTTGGGGCCCCTCACCAGGCGCCCTCTCCCCCTTCCAGGAGTGCACAGTCTGCGGGTGGCTCGGGGAAAGAAGGTGGGTGAGGCCGAGGCGAGGGGGCCGGGCCAGAGGGGGCGGCTGGAGGGTGAGATCCTGTCCTCCCTCACTCCCTACCCCCCGTCTCCAGAAATTCTTCATCATCATGCAGAGCGTCTTCTATCCCGCCGGCCGCATCTCTGAGAGGTGAGTCGCCTCACAGGGGCCCGGCCCCACGCGGGATGTGCCACCTGAAGCACCCATCCTCCCCCGAGAGATAAGAAACTGGGGCCCAGGGAGGGACATCCCCAAGATCTCCTAATGGACCTGGGACACTGCTAGGAAAGACCAGCATCTCTGGAGCACTCAGGATGCACGAGGCACTGTGTCGAGTCTTTGCATTCATTGCCGTCTTTATTCCCAGAACAATTCCGAGGGGTAGGTGTGGTTTATCCCCATTTTATAGATGAGAAGCTGAGGACAAAGAGGGCCAGCTACTATGTGAGGAGCGGGGATTGAACCCTAGACTCTTACTGCACATTGCCCTCCCTCTGGGCCTCCTAACCCTGACTCTGTGTGCAGAACTCCCCATTAGTGCTCTTCCTCGGGGGCCACGGATTTCCTTCAAGCCCTCCTAATGCTGCTGTCTAAGGTTGGACCCCTGTGTCTGGGACCCCTTCAGGGATGACAGAGTGCTGAGAGGCAGACGCTGAGCAGGGGTAAAACCTGAACTGGGCTTCCAGATGCCTGAGTTCAAATTCCCGCTGCTTTTTATTTTTTTAAGTTTATTTACTTATTAAAATTTTTTTATATTTTATTTTTGAGAGACAGAAACAGAGTGCAAGTGGGGTAGGAGCAGAGAGAGAGGGAGACACAGAATCTGAAGCAGGCTCCAGGCTCTGAGCTGTCAGCACAGCCCGATGCAGTGCGGAGCTTGAACTCTCAAACCTTGAGATCATGATCTGAGCTGAAGTCAGATGCTTAACTGAATGAGCCACCCTGGCGCCCCAAAGTTTGTTTATTTTTGAGGGATAGAGAGAGAGCAAGTAAGCAGGAACAGGGGAGGGGCAGAGAGAAAGGAAGGGAGAGAATCCCAAGCAGACTCCACACTGTCATTACGGCTCAAACCCACAAACGGTGAGATCATGACCTGAGCCAAAATCAAGAGTGAGATGCTTCACCGACTGAGCCTCCCAGGCACCTCCCTGCTCTATACTTGCTGTGTGGTCTTGGGCAAGTCAAAGAAACCCTCTGAGCCTTTTTCTTCATCTCTAACATGGGGACAGTAATGGAATGGGGTTGTGCGGAGGCTTTGAACATCCACCTTGTGGAAGCTCTTGTTTCTTGGGTGCCTGTTTGTGTCACTCTGTATATAGCTGAATTCTGTCATCCCCTTTCCTGTCACGCCCCCTCACAGGTATGATATAAAGGGCTGTGAGGTGAGCCGATGGGTGGAGCCAGCCCCTGAGGGTAGCCCCATTGTCCTGGTGCTGAAGGACCTCAACTTCCAAGGCAAGACCATCGACCTGGGTGAGCCATGAGGACAGTCAGTGGCTTCTCTTCCTCCATTCAGGGTGAAGTTAGAAGGGTGTCACCGGCACTGCCCTCTGCCTGAGTCATTAAGAGCCCGAAGTCTAGAGTCAGGCGGAGCACTGGCTCCACGACTCACTAACTAGGTGACCAGGGCAAATGACGGGTTTCCTCATCTGTGATACGGGACAGTAATGGCACCTGCCCTCTCAGGGCACATAGGTGTGGAGCCCTCAGCACCTTGCCTGGCACGCGATGGGCACTCAGGCGGGGGCACTGATGCTCTGACAGGGCCCCAGCGGAGCTGGCTGCTCCACCAGATCCAACTGGACACCACCTTCCTCCGGGAGCTCAACGTGCTAGATTACAGCCTTCTGATGGCCTTCCAGCGCCTCCATGAGGATGAGAGGGGCCCGGGCAGCAGCCTCATCTTCCGCACCGCCAGGTGGGCCCCCCACACACACCGCCACAGGGCACCTGCAAGAACGAGGTGATGGGAGCATGAGAAAGATGGGTGGTGAGGGGGGGAAACAGCACAGACGAAGGCTCAGAGACTGGAAGTGCAGTGTTTGCGTGTACACGTGTGCCTGTGTGTGTCTGCATGTAGGGTGGAGGGCTGGAGAGGCCTGGTCGGCAGGGGTGGCGGGGACATGGGGACAGCGGCAGAAGACAGAACAGGGGAGGTCCCACTGGGAAAGGGCTTCAGTGCTGATTTCAAGAATCTGCCCATTTTCCCAAAGGGGATGTGGAGCCATGGAAGATTTCAGAACAGTTTTCAGACCTATTTAATTTTTACTTTAGAAAGAGCCTTTGCCCTTTACCCCAGTAATTCCACTTCTAGGACCCTGGGGTCATCACCACGGGCACCATCATCATGTTGTCCCCTGCTTTGTAGTAGTAACTGTCGTTCTTTGCATGCTGGGATGTGATAATTGAGGCTCAGAGAGGGGAAGTGAGGTTGTAGAACGACCTCTGAGGATTCGTGTTAGTCCTTGGTTAGTTACTTTGACTTCAACCCTCCAAGGCCCACCTTTGTGACTGAACGGGATTAAGTAGGGGTTAAGGAAGGCACATTAAGGAAAGAAGCCTAACCATCTGGTGGGTGGAAAAGAAAAGTGAAAGATGACATCCTCTCATCCAGCCCTTGAACCCACCCTTTGGAGGAAGACCTTGGGATGGAGGAGGCTTGGGCAGAACCCAGGTTAATGACTCCCCACAGCCCTGTGGCTGGGCTGGCCATAGTCTGACCAGAGACTGGAATTCCTGCTGCGGGGCACAGATGGCCCTCCCGTCCCATGCCATCCAAGTTAGGTCAGCTTCTCCCTTGCCCTCTGCCCCTCACCCCTCCACCCCCCTGCTGGGGCTAGCTGTCATTCAGCTGGTAAACCCTAGTGTACATATGATGGTTGTTGTCATTGAAATTTGCTGGCTGGTAAATTGCCACTGTTCCAGCCCCACCCCTTCCAGTTCCCAGCCCCCCGTTCAGAAAAAGACACACCCCTCCCCGCCCAACACCGCACCTGCACCCACCACACCGCCAAGGATACTAGTGTTTTGCCCAGGCTCCCAGACCACTGGGTTCTGATTGGTCAGTGCCTGGGCGGGGCTTGTCTTTCATTGGCTTACTTCCCTCAGCGACATTTCCCCACCTCCCTTCCACCTCCAGGAGGATGAAATAGGGAATTGAACCTGCTTTGGGCTGTGACTGGGACTCAGACAAAGGCATCTGCGGATTTGGAAGGCATCCCCTCCCCCAACACACACATCATGTACAAACCGGAACTGGACTTTGTTCACAAGGGTTCGGCTCTGCCACCCCGACACTCCAGGGTTGGACGACCCCAAACAAGTTTGGGAAATACCCCAACACCAGACTGGTGGATAATTAAGAGCCAGGGCCTGTGTGACCCAAATGCTCTAGACCAGCACCACCCAATAGAAATGTAATCATGCGAGGTCGCACGTGTAGTTTTAAATCGTCTAGCAGCTTCTTTAGAAAAGTAAAAAGAAACAGGTAAGAATAATTTTAAGAATATATTTGTTACTCAGTACACCCCAAATTGTGTCGTTTCATCATCGAATCCATATAAACATTTATGGGGTATTTTACATTCTTTCTCTCAAACTGTCTTGGAAATTCAGTCGGTATTTTACACTTAGAGCGCGTCTCAGCTGGGACTGGCCACATTTAAATGCTCAGGGGCCACATATGGCTAGTGGCTACGTGTTGGACAGGGCAGCTCAAGACCATCGTCCACACTTTACTCAGCCTCCCAGTTTATCTGACGTCAGAGGCCTCGCACGCAGGAGTTGTGGGAATGAGCGAAGGAAGCGCAGGGTCAGCGCAGAATGCAGTCCGGGCGCGCGGTGTCTACGCTTGCGGGAATCCCTTGGCTGGGGCCCCCTGGAGGAGGCAGTAGCCTCACCCTCCTGTCTGCCGCCAGGTCTGTGCGCGGGGTACAGAGCCCGGAGGAGCCGGGATCCCAGAACCGCCGGCTGCTTCCCGACTCCCCCAACGCCTTACACATCCTGGACGGGCCGGAGCAACGCTATTTCCTGGGCCTCGTGGATCTAGCTACGGTCTACGGGCTCCGCAAGCGGCTGGAGCATCTCTGGAAGACGCTGCGCTACCCGGGCCGGACCTTCTCCACCGTCAGCCCCGCTCGCTACGCCCGTCGCCTCTGTCAGTGGGTGGAGGCTCACACCGAGTGACCCGCGCCCGTCGTGCTCTCCGCATCTGGACAATGGGCGCACGCCGGGAACCAGGGTTCCAGCCTGGCCCCGGCGGCGGGTCGGGCTCCCTCCACCTGCTGTTCCTCTCTTTGGCCTCCAGAGGGCAGCATCCCCTAGCTAATACCGTGACAACACGGCCTCGTTTGGTGGTGCGGTCTGGTTCGGCGTGCCAGGGACTCCCCTACATCAGCTCATTTAATCCTCAGAAAAATGCTGTTATTCTCTTTTTACAGACCATGAAATGGAGGCTCAGGGGGTGAAGGGACTGAGCAAGATCATTCAGCAATAAATGCTGGAACCAGGACTCGACTATGCCTTTTGGACTCAGGAGCCTGTAATCTTACCCACCAGCTCCCTCAGCCCTGTCCTCATGCTCTGGGGAAGGGGGCAGGCTGAAGGCTCCAGCCAAGCCCCTTTGTCGTCCAGATGGGGAAATTGAGGCCCAGAGACCTTAAGGGGCTTACCCATGGGTAAGTGGAAAGGCCAGCCCAAGAACCCAGGTCTCCTTACCCCCTTGCCCACTGGCCTTTTGGGGTGGTCCCCGTGGCTCCTGTTTCTCTAGGGATGCAGGAGGGAGAAGGGGAGTTGGGGGGGGTTGAATCTCTGGAAGACACTATGTTGGGGCTCCCCATTGGTGTTGAGTAAGCTCTTCCTTCCTCTGGGAGTCATTCTTCTCATCTGTGAAAGGGGGGTGGGGGGCGATGGCCAGACCAAGAGCCTGGCCGCACAGACAGTGCCAGGAGCAAAGAAGCGCAGTGCACGCACAGCCCCTGATCATTCCTTCTCCTTCTGCCAGGAAACGCCAGCCTGGCCTCTGACCCTGGCCCGATCCCACCATACCCAAGTGGGCCTCTCCTCTAGAGCTGTGTGACCAGGGCAAGGTGCTAAACCTCTCTGTGCCTCAGTGCTTGAATCTGTAAAATGGAAAGGATGAAAATGGACCTCGTTAATTCATTAAATATTTATTGAGCACCTACTCTGTGACAGGCCCTCTACTGGGTGATGGGGACCTGGGGGGTGGAGCAAGAGTCACAGATGCCACAGAGGTCTCTGCCTCGCAGAACTCACAGTTCTGGGGAGAGATTGTGACAAAAGCAGCGTAGTGTGACAAAGCCTTGTGAAGGAGCATGGGGTCATCGTACTGAGGGAAGGGGTCTCCACCTAATCATTTGACTCTAACATTTTAACTGAGACCGGAAGAGTCAGATGCAGCCCTGGGAGTCAGGCCAAGGGCATGGCAAAGGTCTGGGGTGAGAGAGAGCCTGACACTTGAAAGAAACATCTCACTGTGGGAGGGACAGTGTGGTGGTGGTGGTGGGGTTTTATGGGCCCAGACCAGAGCTGACCCCCAGGACTGGAGCTGGACCTTGAGAAAGCCCCTCAGCAGATACCAAGGACTGCCATTCCATTAGCCTTTAGAGGAAATGAAGAAAAATGGTGGGTTGGGAAGGGAGAGGAAAGGGAAGGTCAATGCCACAGTCCTGGAGTGTGGGCTTCTGGGATATGTATACAATTGTCCTCACCCCTAGTTGTCTGGGTGATCTTGGGTGATACTCAACCTCTCTGAACTAGCACAAGCCACAGAGAATTTCTTGTTCTGGCTCAGCAGGAAGTTGAGACATGGAGCTTAAGGTCATCACTTAGGAGGTGGGTGGGTTGAGGAAACTCAGTAGCTGTAGGGCAGCAGAGCAGGAAATGGGTTGGGCTCTGCATTTCCCCAGGGTCTGGATCTGACAGGATTAAATCAGAGCCTGAGAGTCCTGCACTCCTAGATAAGCATGACTGGCCCCTCTGTACCTAGGGTCTCTCACTACCAGCTGAGCCAGAGCCTGAGGCTGGGGAGGGACCTGACTTATCTGAGATCACACTGGGGGTGGGGGCGTGGGGCGCCAGGACTGGTTCTTCTAACTGGCTCATTCAACAGACATGATCTAGCATCTGTGCTGGGCGTTTGTGCAGGTGCTGGATGATTACTATGGAAAAGACCAGTCAAGGTGGGATTTAGAGGGATGGGCATGCAGTGTCACACAGAGTGGTAGGACAGGGCCTTTCTGAAGAGGTGACATTTGAGCTGAATGAAAGGAAGGAGCTAGCTATGTGAATAGAGTAGTCCAGGTAGAGGATACAGCAAGTGTAAAGGTCCTGAGGTAGGAATGAGTTCAGTGTGATTGGGGGATCCGAAGGGCCACCAGGGTGGGCAGATGGTGATTAAAAAGAAGGCAGGAGTCCAGACCGTATAGGGCCTAGGAGTCAGGGTAAAGAGAGTGGACTTTTGCAAAAACCAAATTGAAGAGCTTTATCTGAGCCTGCATGACTTCCCAGTGTCAGTTCTACTGTGGATTTATGATCCTCATCTTCTCTGGGAGCCCAGGACATTTGGGCACATCCTTGTCTCCACATGGCAAGGACAGAGTTGCCTCTTTAGAGAAAGAGTCCTCACATCAGGTCACCAGCCATTGTGGGTAATGAATGAAGCTGTAGGAGTTTCTCACAATTGTCCCCTTACGGTTGAGTCTATGAGGAGAGAAACTTGAAGGATGAGGATTCGGGGTCGGGGGCAGAAGGACTCTGGCTTTGGGACCCACTACGTGCCTGCCCGTGTGTGAATGGGAGAGACACTGAACTTGGACCACTACCCTTGGGCTATGTCTCAGCTGGGGAGGAGGGACAAAGTAGGCCCATGCGCAGAGGAGCCCCAGGGACAGGGCTTGCCTCAGCGTGCCCTCCCCCCATAGGATGGGAAGAGGCATGGCAGACTTGGCTTTGCACTTGGGAAGTTGCCGATCTGGTGCAGATATCAGAACACGGATACCATGGCATAGTCCCCACATCAGAGCCTTTGAGGAAAAGGCAAATGGAGTTTGAAATGGGGTCTGAGCAGCAACCTAGCCTCTGGATCTCATAGGAAGGCCCCATAGAGGGAGGTGGGTGTGATGGAGGTGGTAAGATGAGCTTTCTGGCCCATAAAGCATTTTATTAAAAAAACACTCTAGATGGGAAATGTGCTCTCTACCTCACCACAGACCCACTCCTCCCTATTGCCCCATATCTGCTCTTTCCAACCTTTGTGGCCCCTAAAGACACCTGAGTTTGAAATCCCCAAGGGACCCCATTTGAGCCTTCAAATGGGACACATTGTAGCCTCTACAGGTGCGCAAGACTGAGTTGGTTGGGGTTTGGAGGACACTTTGGGAGGGGGTGTTTGGGAGGTGAAAGTAGGTGGCCGCTACGTGGCAGTGAGACTGCCCAGGGTTCAAATCCCCCTTGCACTATATCACTGGCAGGTAGGTGCTGCGATTATCCCCACTTCATAGAGAAGAAAAACTGAGACTCAGGTGGAGGTCACACCACCAGAGACAGTCCAGCTAGGGTATCGTCAGAGAAAATATAAGACGCCCAGTTACACTGGAATGTCAGATTTTTAAATATAATTATTGTTTATCTGAAATTCCAATATAACCGAGTGTCCTGTATTTTACTTGCTAAATCTGGCAACCCTACCGGCTTGAAACCCAGGGCTGCTTGACCCCCAAGCCCCTGCTTAATTTTCCTACTCACGCCCCAATTTCAGAAATGGAGAAACCCAAGTCCAGACGGCTAGGCAGCCGCCGCGGCGCCCTGGTTCCCACACCCACGAAGCCTTTTCTTTCCGATCCCCGGCTGAAGTTTGGGAGGAACGCGGTTGGGCAGAAAAGGGGAGATACTGGAGCTCCGACTCCGCCCACGGCCTGCAGGCCCCACCCCCATTCCGGAGGCCCCGTCGCCAGCCACGCACTTCCCTCCCCAGCCGCGCAGGTCCCGCCCCCCGCCGCCAGGGCTCCGCCCCCTGCGCCCCTGTCTCCTCCCCGTCCCCGCAGACCCCGCCCCCGCTGCCGGAGGCGCACGTTCGGTCTCCAGTCTCCAGAAGCCGCGGCCGCGGTGCCGCCTCCGCCCCGGGGCTCCGGCTTCCAGCCCGGCCCGCCCGGTTTGCGGGCCATGGAGCTCCGAGCAGTGGATCGAGAGCAGGCGGAGCGCCCCAGCCTACCCGTCTGGTTAGCGCCCGGCCAGGGGAGGGGGCGGTGGAATCTGGGAGACGGGTGGAAATCCCTCGCCCTATCCCGCCTCAGGCCTCTCGCTTTCTCCCGCCTGTAGTGAGGTAGGAAGGATGGGGAGGCAGTCGGGGCTCCGGGCTGCTGGTGCTAACTGACCCACACTCGATGGGTGACCTTGAGCCGAGGGCTCCCCCTCCCTGCCTCTCCTTCCCCATCTGCACAATGGGGATTGGGTTGGTGTGAGGTTTCCCGAAGGTCACCTGATGATACCAGCTCCTTTAGGATGCGGACAGAGCTGTCCGGTGTTTGGGGACTTTAAGCCATATGCCTTGACCGTGGCCCACACCCTCCCCTGCCTCAGTTTCCCTGGGCAGTTTCCTCAGAGGCCTGGGACCCAGCTCTAAGTTTCCGGATCTTGGCAGGTGCCTGGCGCCCACTCCTTCCCGGCCTGAGCCCTGGAGACAGCAGCCCCCAGGCTGCTGAGCAGCGGCAACAACATGAAGGCTCCGGTAAGTGGTGGAAGGAGGAAGGCTCTTGGGGAACTTCCGGCACAGCAGCCTCATAGCCTCTCCCACCCCGGCACTGACTCACTTTTGACCCACTGGATCCTGAGCTGAGAAGGGCAGACAGGCCTCAAAGCCCTGCCTAATCTGGCAGGCTGTGTGGCTTCAGGCAAGTGGTGTTCCCTCTCTGGTCTCAGCGCCTCGCGGAGATCATAGTACTACCTCCTGTGAGCATCCATGAGGTCACCCAGGTGAGGCACCCACCTGGGAGGGGGATGTATGGAAGTTCAGTTTGTCTGCTTTCAACTTTATTTAGGAGCCGACGGCTGGGGGAGAGGGCCCTGGATGCTGGGGGGAGTCCACCACCACTGCCTGAATCCCGGTCTCTGGGTCCCTTGTGGGCAGTGGACCAGATGCCAGGCAGAGCCTGAGGCCTCAGGGGCTGAACCCCCTCCCCAGCACAGCTGGCCACAGAGAGATTTATTTTTAGCAGCTGATGTGGCTTGTGGGCAGAGAAGGGTGGGCCTCTAGCAGGATATGCCCGGGCGGGGGGGGGTGTTGCTTTCCGACCTCTGATTTTCAGAGTATCAGCCAGCTGTTAGGGGATTTCTGGGGACCAGCTGAGGGATCTCTGCCTTGGGCAGAGAGAGTATTAGAGCCCAAAGAGACGCGGATAGTGACCAGGGTGGCCCAGCACACGATGGCAGCCCCAGGTCCTGCCCCCCATCAGGGGCCTCTCCTCCTTGAAAGGCTTGGTGGGGGCACTCAAGAGGGCCAGGGCGCCTCCGGAGGGCTTCCCGGTTCAAATGGCCTTCAGCACACGTTTTCTGGAGGTGGGAGTCTCTGAACAGCAGCTTTCAATTATTGAAACCATTTCTTGAGTAGCCCTTCCTTTTCTGCCATCCTCCTTACTCACTGGGGCTGCTGATCATCAGTCAGAGGGACGGTCAGTCTCCAAGTCAGTTGGGGGGAGGGGACAGGGGATGGGCACCCCGGCGGTCTGCTGGGCGCACGGTAAGCTCACAGGTGCTAGAGGAGGAAGCAGGCCCAGAGGGGCAGAGAGTCATACCCAGGGCTGCGAGGGCACCCAGGCTTCTGGGTAAGAGCATGGGCTCTGCAGCCTGGATTGAAAGTCCCATTCCGCTATTTCCTTGCCGTGTGGCCTTGAGTTTTCACCCCATATCCCTTATCTAGAACATGGGGAGAGTAATGGGGCTTGTCTCCGGGGCCTGAGCTGGGGCAGCCCAGAGGAAGCCCTGGTTAGCTGTGGACTCTGCTGATGTTCTAGAAGCTTCTGAGCTGGGGTTTGGACCCATGAGGCTGGAGCACGGCATCCCGGCATGAGCTTTTAAGAGGCCCCAGGGAC